ACCATGCTTGTCTACAAGTCGGTGTTAAATATATATATCTTTAATAATGAGTAGTATGTGAATGACGACAAAATTTCCATGGAGATTTCGTCTAGTCGCAATCGCACACACTCACAGGCCCTATACTACACAAACACAAATTCGTGTATGCCATCATTTGATTCCAACGTAACTTGTTCTGCTTTCCGTAAAGCTGAGGTGATCTACATACGGGAGAATGTTGTTGAATCCATTCTGCCTCAAATTGACCCTCTTTATATGCACACATTCCCCACCACTGTCCCGTTGTCCTTATTCCCACTTTGTCCTTGTGTTTCATGCTTATGACTTCTCCATGCGGTTTGCACGAACCGTTAACATGCTTATTGCACTACGCTGCCCTCAATGTTGGTTACACTTGTCTCATCAATCCGTGCACATGATCGATGAAACCTGACACCTGTGTACACGCACAGGCTTACCCTGGTATCATTCAATAGCGGACCCTAATGATTAACATTTACATTCACTGCATTTCGATTGGATCCCCCAGGTCACTTCCCACTATTCACTATCACAGATGCATGCAATCATGTTTGGTTCCATTGTCATCACGCTGCGCGCCTGCTTGCTCTCAGTTCTTGCTGGTTTTACAGATTCTGCCATTTTTTAAACCGGATGGTGTCCCAGTTTGACGTCTGTATATTTTCCACTAACATACTCTGTATTTCAGTACTGTTTATATATAAGAAACCTATTTATTCAAATTCGTGTTTAGCGGGTTGGAGTCTTGTGAAATGTTCAGTAGCTTCAGTGGGATTTGAACCCTTACACGGACACCGCCTACGCCTTTATACAGCGCACACCTTACGAGCTGAGCTACGGAGCCGCAGCGTTAGCACTGATATTTTTGCATCCGAATCACCCCGAGTTAGAGAGGCACATTATATCCAGTAGGTAGCATGTACACTGACCGCAACGACAGGTTCACCGAATAAACTTGTGAGACAAGATTAATTGTTCAAACTACAGTTTTTGTTTTGGAGTCTTATGTGGAAATTGGGGTTTAAATGTGCTAAAATTAGTGCTATCGGTGTGGGACAGTAAATAAGCTGTTAGGGCGTGCGCTATGCCAAAGCGTCGGCGGCGTCCATGCGTGAGTGCGAATCCCACCAAAGCTACTGAACGGTTCACAATTTCAACATAAGAAACCTATTTGTTGAGTTATTTCGCGCGTCACTCTACGTGGATCGTTGTAGCTTGTGAAGTCAACAGTATTGCGGATTGCGTATTCAGGCTTATTCGTGTGCGCTCGATAGTGGCTTAATTCGTGGCAGAAACACTACTTGGTACTAGAGGGAAGGTTTCTCATGTGAGTGAATGAAAAATAGCACTTATTTGACTAGTTGATTCAGTTTTGCTTTCCCATGTTCACCAAGTTGGTTAATTTGTTTGCNACAGATGTATTACGGCTGACGCGGCTTGTGCTGTTGGATCGATTAGTTTGTTCATCATAGGTTGCTTGTGTGGATATATCGGAACAGAAACTACATTGTGTAGTTTTGGGAAATGGGAGATCGACGACTTTTCAGCTACTTTGATTGATCAATTGCCATTGGCTTAGCGGTTTATGTTGCTTAGACGGTTGGATCGGTTAACTGATTGATCCGGTGCTCGTCAGTTCCACAACATTAGCATTTTATTTTCCAAATGAAAATAAGTTTACAGTTTCACGCTGCAGGTTTTAAGTTTTAAAGATTAAAGTTGTTTGAAAGTGCTTCACAGAACATAAGTTTCATGATGATAGATGAACCAAACAGATTTTGCACCACGCCACGGTTTTCATTCCTTTTCTTAATCTTTCTATCAAACATTATCCTTAATTTGTTACAAATATTGCTTGCATGACGTAAGCCTACCCAACTTCAATTTGACTGAAAACTTTCCTCTCGAATTATTGACCAACCAATGTGATTGGGACAACGGAAAGGCTGTGAGCAGTGATTGATTCTGCTAATGACATATTGACTAAATCCAAACCTCCACTTTCATTGTTTTGTCGCAAAGTGCCTCAAGCATGGAACATCATAATTTAGACCCTTCAATACGTTTTTCGAATAATGATATTTTGTCGGGCTATATACCGAGTAGTATAATTTCATTAAACCTCTTCCTATTGAAATATTTATTCTTTCGTCAGAGAACATGAAATTGTGAGTAATGAGCAAGGATTTTGAAAATTTCTATTAACCTTAGAATTCTATGGCTGCGCTCTCCAAAACAATTGTCTCTTGTTCAGAACAGAACTGATAATCCTCAAGAGGTCCAAGGTGTTCATTTTAAAACCCTTTTTTGTCAGTTTTGCCTGATAAACTTCTAATACGGTCAGTTAGATAATCCCTTAATTTCCTGTTCGACGCTGCACAGAACAGCATTCTGGCTTTCGGTTTCTGGCTGTACTTTATTCTGTTGTTCAACTAATAACAGCTCAGAGTTCAGGTAATCATAATACAGCCTCCGAAAGCCTCAGTATGGTTGGGGTGGGTGTCTCAGTTTGTGACTGGTCACCATTCCCCTACACCTCATGAAATGCTCCTATATGACCAAGCGTCTCAAATAGCCTCTGCTGAGGAAGCTCTATTCACTGCCTTCTCGTGGCGGAGGGTGTTCCCCACCAAAGTGAGAGGACGAAAAGCAGAAATCTGGGGCTATAGCAGGGTTGGTGGACCACTGGCAATTCACCTAAGAGAGTTGGATAAAAAAATTGATTTCCAACCTACCAAGAAGACGCGTAGGAACCACACGCACACACACACACACACACACACCTTCCTGGTTGTGACAGTGGTCGCTTGCTCTATTAGGTGTCAAGTTATACTGGGCATCTTGGACCTTTGACCCCGTCCAATGGGCGTATTATCCGGACTCCGGCCCCCAATGAAGTGCTCCGTTCTGTTGTCTTTTAGGTTTGGTTTTCTAGCTAAAGGCTTCGGTTGGGGACCTCGAGGTTATCTCCTTTCCTCGATTAGGGTAACCATGAAGTAACATGCCCACACAACCTATGAGTACATTCTAAAGGTTTTGTGATCATATGTTTTGGCACATTTGCCGGTTTTGTGTGATTGGTTACGTGTTAAATCAAATAACTAATCATATTATAGATTTTTCATTCTGTCTGCTACTGGAAGACGATATCAGAATCATGATTTCCTTTTTCAGTAAAATTACCAGTACTGTCGCATTTTGTTGAACATAGTTGAATGGCGGTACACAGATTGTCTATTTATACAATTTAATGACAGCTTGTTGCTGTTGTAGTGAGCTCGAATTGTTGGAATTTCTGTCTTTACGATCTTTTCATTGGCAAGTTGCTTCTATTTTTTTTCTTTTCACCACTAGCTGCCCGGAGACATTTCACTCGTTATTTATTTGATCTTCGTCCAATAAAATACTCATCAGTTTGCCGACTAAGCTTTTCATCCGACCTCATTGTGTGGTGTCTGCGATTCTATAGGTGGCAGGTAATGGTTGAAAATGTTTCTAAAAAGAGGTTTTGAATTCGCGTTGCGACCGTCACTTTTTCTCTTCATTGCTACACTGAGGTGTACAAATGCTGTTCTCCGAGATCTCGGTAATCAACGGTCATTTTTGAAGCAAGGCTCTTTATTTTGTTTCAAAATAAGCTATCAGTTTGCACAGGATTTCTTCAAACTAAGGTTTATTGATCGCGGAAAAGAAGGACTAAATTCGATGAATGGGCTTCCCAGCACTTGTTTTTAAGCGATCACACAATAAAAAATAAAACAAACAGTAAATGTTGCTAACTGGAAATCTATGATTTGAGCCATCCCCGCACAGTCCGGTAGATCAATCTAGGATTTTTTCTTGATAACTAAATTTCTTCTTCATACTTGCGGGATTTATGTATTCGGAGAGCACACTACAGGACCTTTAATGAAAGCATCATTTACTGATTCGTTTGAACCCAAAAACTAAAACTAGCACTTCAGTATCTCCTCCTCTATGCTTCTCTTTTTCTCTCACTCCCATTCACCCGTTACAGGCCACCTCCTCTCATCGTCTGATTCTTTGCGTAGTCTTCGTGACACTGTCAATCCACGGGACATGTTCCACGATGCGATTCACAATTTTCATCCAAACTATCATAAATACACGCAACAGGTAAGAGAAGGAAGTATCAGCTTCGCAACTCACGTGCAACGTGTGCTATTCGATTTTAAATAAAAGCAGTCATACACACATTGGTGGCCTGTTTTATCCTAAAATTGAATGTTACGTTTGTCATGCATGCCTGTGGCTGGATTGATTGAGTGAGAGATACTGCTTACTACCACACACGCACGCACTCACGCCATGTAAGCTGACTCTACTACAATATCGATCGACTCCAGCCCATCCGATGCTCGTATTGGACTATCCACACTGATTGATTCGCTGACTGTTTGAATACCGGTTTGACTGCTTTCGGTTGGCATGACGCGCGAACCGTTTGTTGGCCTTTCTGCCTTCCTACTTATTGTCCGCTCCTGCTTTCTCATCAGCCTGCGGACCGACTACATGTGTGCCTAAGACAATAAACGTACAGCTTAGTTCACTGCGTGCTAATTACTTACTTAAACGGGGCACAACAGGACAACAGGACAGGTGAAAACTGTAAGGTGAAAATTGAAACTCGATGCGAACTAATATTGTTAGAGATCTTCATAATTCAATGTGTTCGTTTCGTTGCTTATCCTCCGAAACTCATTTCACAATCGAAAGTGAAGCTTAGGTAACCAAAGTTACAGTTATGTGTACCTAAAGAATAACTTTTGCTCTGGCAGTGTGATAGCATCGGTCTACTGATTCATTAACGCCACCCTGATTGTGCTTACACTGATGTGCTGCAGTAGTTCGGCCAGTGTTGTTTTACGTTGCAGAGACCGGGCCATTACAGGTGCAGGATAAAGATAGACTGTTGGTGTTCGAACACCAACGCTGTCTACGCTGCATTGTACGAGTCTGGTGGGGAAACTGGACAAACAATGCTGGGTTTAGACCGAGAGTTTAAAGTAACTGTGGTCGTCCACTGAAGCAAGTGACTGATCTGCATAAACTACGCTGGTTGAGACGTGTTACGCAAATAGATTTCCCCCGCGCGCGATGTTCTCCGAGGCAACCAGTGGATGAACTAATGTCATGAACAGTCAAATTAAGACTTGGCATGAGGACACAAAAACTTTAGCCAGGAGATTGGGTCAATTCAGTTTGTACGACCATTAACCATACACTATCGTGCACCCTCCGGTTTGGGGTCACATAGGTACCGTTAGGCTCCTTGAAGTGGGACCCCGAGATCAAGTCAACCGGTGGTTAGTGATACCGGATGATATGGCTGAGTGTCATAAACAGCGATGCTGGTGTATCTACTCATTAGTATTTGAATCCCAGTCTATCTTTTATCTATCTTCTTTTTGACTCTGCTCTCAGCATTAAAATATTTTTATGCTGTTTTACACAAACAAGAAACAGAAAGACACTAAACAAAGCCATCACACATAGGAGCACAGTTACTGGTTTTAAAAAATGACTGAAACTGATGTGATCAGGACGTGGAAGGGAAATTGGCGAAAATGTTGAAGGTATTCGGTATAGGTTCTTGTTATGTTGGAACTGTGATCACATGAAAAATCTGCAACCAAAAGCTGTTGCTTTTAACCTTCACTTCCCGGGTGAGAAATGAATACCTCTCTGATGGACATTGTCTTCCAAGATAGGAATGAAAATCAACCGTTAAATTGAGTCTTGTTGAACCACCATCTTCCTCAAGAAAATTCGCCTGCCTTGGCCTGCGCAACCTGGCAGTATTCAGCTCACATGCAAATCGTGGAACGTTTTACTTTTTTATAAAGAATATTGTACCGCAATCTATTTGGCACACAGTGTGAACTCAAACGTGTGATATATA